AAAAAAAAAAATTGTAAGAAAAACAAATACAAATTCATTTGTGTTTTTACATTTTTATTTTAACTTCAACTAATGTAGGTGGTACCTAAATTTACAAATCAATCATAATCACCAAACAGTCATGGAATTTAAGGTAGGAAATTTGGTTGCACTTGCACTTCCCAAACCAGATAACAAGTAACAACTTTGGTTTGTCTTTGGGACCAATTTAAGTTATTTGAAGTGAATAAAATAACAATACGTTTTTTTATTGCAAAGCTCAGAGAGTCTCAATCACTTCCACATCATTTCAAAACAAATCGTTCAATAAAAATAACTCAGTGATTGTTTTTTTTTTTTCCCTTTCACTTCTCTTACTCCTATCATTTGAATTTCTTCCTCAAAATTTAAAACAGATTTAGCATCACATCCATACGTAAAGTTGAGAATTTTTTTTGTTTTGCTAAGAATTTGAATTTCATTTTAAATGAGAAGGATTGTAATATATTACAAAGGGTTAAGACGAGTAGGAAAAGCCTTGCAAAAAAAAAGGATTAAAAACAAGGAGAATCCTAAGATTTAAGAACGATTGAGAAAGATTTCTATTCGTATTCGTAAGTGAGCCAATAAATTTGCATTAGGTCACTAAATGCCTTTCTTTTTCGTTTATTGTGTCACGAACATATGTGTCAATGGTTTTGACAATTGCTTGTTGTGTGGTAGAGATGTTGTTGTGGAGCCTCTTGTTTCTCTCTGACCACATTACGTAGATAGTTGCATGAGCAACAGACGCCGCAAAGTCCTTGGAGATCTCTTGTCATGAAGACCAAGCCAAGTACAAAAAGCAGTTCAAGTATGGAAGGTGAAAGGGTCGTAGGAACAGGAGATCACGGTTCTCTTCGAAGACATTGCATAGGCAGCATGCAGAGATGATAAGAATTTTACATTTCCCAATGGCCAAAACAGCATAGGAAAGGTTACACGAGATCAATCGGATTCAAACACAAGCTGACATGAATTTGAAGCCATGGCCACACTAGCTAACTCGTTGAGCATCTCACCTCTCTTTTCCAACTTTTCAAGCTCCTCTGCTTTGATGGTTTTTGTGGAGAAAGTTGCTTTCTTCAACCGCCTTGCGTTCTCTAGAATGTATGTGGCAACTTCTTTCTCATCTTCTCTCTGCCAGTCGTATCTTGTCCACACGAATGTCTCAAGATGAAACAACAAACACTCAGGTACGCATTTCGGTTGTTCCCATTCCCAGTCCACCGGACGAGCTCTTCTACCATACCAAAATGGCTGAGACCAATGCAAT